ACATTTGATTGGTTTTAATTCGATTAAATTTGCTTATCTGTTAAAAGTGAATTTTGTAAATATTTTGGGATACACTCAATAACAGTTTACACAGAAATACACCATAAAAAAAATACAAATATACATAAGCAAGCACAATCCAGATGAGCTCCATGTAAGAAATCACATGAAATCAGATGAAATGGTCTCAATAGCAGAAGTGAGCATTAACACTACAGGCTTCAATGTGAGTTGCCACATTACTGTACCGAACCGTACATGTGTTCCCAACTTCATTTGGCTCTTTCGCGATTAGTCTCTCCAAGCATTATGTGAAGGGTGTGAAAGAAGTAGTTTACAAAGAAGAGAGGATGAGGCCAAATGGAAAATGCTAAAGACACTAAAAAAAAGAGCCGACAGGGACATTTTTAACTGATGTAATAGTCCAGTTTGAGGAATATGGTGTGGCTATTGTGAGGAGTAATAACTCATGATCTTCTGATGACACCAGTCACATGTCTCACACAGACATACCTAAAAAAAAAAAAAAAAAACAAACAAACAAAAAAAAACCTTTATACTTGGGCAGCTCCTTTTATTATACTACTGCTATAATAGTTAGTTACCTGTCTGAGAAGACCCTTAGCAAAGCACTGTGCTCTTTGAGCCATCAAGAATATTCCCTGCAAACAGTTGAGTCAAATGATCTGCTCTGCTCTTGAACTGTTTCCAAACGGTCAAAAACACATCAGACTTTTGACCCTATGCTGCTTAAAGCTTTGCAGCGCTAGAGGATTCAGAGAACGTGCAATGAATTTTTTTCAGAAAAATCAGCTGATCTACTGTTTTCTTTTTGTCCTTACAATGGTATGATTTAGAATATAAAATGCAAAGACTTATCGTGAGAAGCTAGACACCACCTCAGATCTTTCATATAATGAAACAAAGTGCTATTGTCTCATTTCCACTGTTATGATTTCATAACATGTTCAAAGCATTCCAATTTCCAACTGGTTCAAATGCAAATGATAGTCATCTTTTTAATTATAAAATAACAGAGTGTATCCTGTTTGTAGGCTGCAGGTTGCATGTCTTTTCTAATTTTTCAGAGGTGTTTTGATCATGAGTAGGACATAAGCTACCTAAAAGTATCTTTAAAGGGGTCATAGGATGCCCATTTTCCACAAGTTGATATGATTCTTTGGGGTCTTAATGAAAAGTCTGTAACATAGTTTGGTTAAAATTTCTCAATGGTAGTGTAAAAAACAAATTTTTTACCCTGTCAAAAACAGCTCTTTTCAGATCAAGCCATTTTTGTAGAATTTTCCTTTAAATGTTAATGAGCTATGATGACCCCGCCCCTCTCTTCCGAGCTGCTCTCAGAGAGACTGTTTACTTTAGCCGCATTCATCGTGAAACTTGCTAATTAGCACATTATTAGGAAAGACGATTTGCAAAGATTCATTACGAAACATTATACTCACTTCTTCTGTAGATGAGGCTGGATCATGAATGATTCGCGCGAACATTTATGTAGATCAGGGGCGCATTCCCTTCAGAAACCATGTAATCCACTGCTGTGACATCACGCAGACAGGCATCTGAGATCGGCTCGATTTGAGAAAGGGGAAAACATCTAACACGATTAAAAAAAACACACTGGGTGGATTTTTATCATTATAGTAGTGTTGTCACGGTACCAAAATTTCAGTATTCGGTACCGATACCAGTGAAAATCCACGGTTCTCGGTACCAAT